TGTGGTGGGTCAGACTTCCTCAAACAGCTGAAACTTTCATCATGACAAGGCTGCACGATGCTCTAATGCAAAATGTTCAGAATTGCATCAAATTTTATCCCTTTTTTCATTTCAGCTTTTCTCAATGTTTCAAACACTGGAACAACGATCCCCTGCGCTGCCTCAAAGTCCTCCTTCAAGAGTCTGATCTGGAGATTCAACCAAAGTCTGATCGTCCTGACCCAGACTGGAGCTAATATCTCCTCCTCAGTCTCAGAGGGCTGGAGGCAGCAGGTGAAAGGTGTGTCAGAGTCAGGCAGCCTCATGCTGCAGAACTTATCTCCACATCATGAGGGAATATACACCTGTGAACTGAGTGATGCTGAGGAGACACTGATAACCAACACCTTTCTGAGGATACAGAATCCAGGTGAGGCAGCATGAAGTGTTATTATCTCTATGACCTGCAACAATGTAAACATCAGAAAACATCATGAGGCATCATGGGAAAGTTCAAGTAACTGACTCTTACTATTTCAGAGAATTCAACCGATGTTGGAGGCATTATAGGTGGGGTGGCAGCCATTTTGGTCATAGCACTAGCAGTTGGTCTTGTACTGTACTTTAAAAAGAAAAAAGGTAAGATTATGTTCTTCCTACATTTTTTAATTTATTTCTTGTTTGTACTGATGTTTTCTTTTGTTTTGGACAGATAACATCTCTCAGATCAACAGAGACAGAACAACAGGGTCAAACAATGGTCAAATACAAATGTAAGTAAATCTTTTGTATTAAAAGCACTGCTGCTGAATTAACTAGAAGCTGGAAACAGAGTTTTAAATTAAGCGATCATGATGATGTGATGTTTTATTTTGATCTGAAAAAGTTGTTCTTTATACTGAAGAAGAATAAATAAGAGATTGTTTTGATTTTACCTTTATATGTTTCTGATGCTGAATTTTATTTAATTTTGTTTGCAGAGCAATGGAGGTTAAAGAAGGTGTAAATGAAGAAATACCTCAGAATGATGAAAACCTCACCAAGAACCCTTTGCTTGAAGGAAATGAACCATAAGTTAAAAATAATTGGTCACATCATTCTGTCCTGAGGCTCAACTGTATCACATGACTGAACATGGAAACATGTTGATGTCACACAGACAAGAACTGTTAACCTTGCTACTCAAATGCATTGATTAGTTGTGGAATAAACACAAAAAACCTGTGTCTTTTAGTTTCTCAGTGATTGATTGTCTTGTCTTGTCTTTGTGGTTTCATGACGAGTTCTGTTCTTTTATATAGAACTAAAATAACTGATGTGCAGTACCTAGA